ACTCAAGATATCTTAACGACGTGCAGTACGAAGTATGGGACAAAGAAAGATTGACGTAAGGGAATGGAGAAGACAGACACTCGATAGGGAAGGATAAAGGAATGCTTTGAGGCAGGCCAGGGCTCACGAAGGGCTGTAGCGACAACTGATGATGATAAACATAATTGTGAGAGTATATCAATAGTGCGATTGGGAAACACAATACTTGTTCATTGGGAAACCTGATCATAGATGAGAACACTGTAATTAATGCTTGTAGGGAGTATAAATATTTAGGTACAACAGATAATCATAGTGGCTGGACTCACAAGGAAATAGAAGAAAGGATAGGTAAAAGAGAAAAAGGTTCTAGAATGTCTAAATTCAATTCTGTGTTCCAAAGATATATCTCGATAAAGAAAACACTTCTTTAACCCAATTTTTAAAAATATCGTACTGTATGGATGCGAAAGATGGCAACTGAACAAATCATTAGAACGTCGCTTATTGTACTTATATTCATTCAATTCAATTTCTGACTGGAAAAAATATTCAATGACTAAATACGACAAAAGATAAGTCACAACAATTATTATTGAAGAAATTGACCACAGACCACTTATTTGGTAGCCAAGCCCAAAGAATGGCAGATAGATGACTTACCAAGCAAACAATAAAATGGGTACCAATTAAAACAAGGAACAGAGCAATACCAAAACAGACATGATTCAGGTATCTTCAGGCTGGAGATTGGAACGACAGAAGACAATGAAAACTACGAACCATAAGGCATAAGACGCTATGAAAATCGGACGAAAAAAATGTTTTAATTACATCGTTCAGGATGTAAAAACTTCAGGCGTTTGAATTATGGTTATACAGAAGAATCTTGAAGATACCATGGACAGACAAAGTCACCAATGAAGAAGTACTGCGGAGGATGAACACAACCGCGGATTTGGTCAACATTGTGAAGAGCCGTAAGCTGAAGTACTTGGGACATATAATGAGAAATCAAGGCAGATACGAGCCACTCCAATGCATTTTGCAGGGTAAAATTGAAGGAAAAAGAGCCCCAGGACGAAGAAGAATATCCTGGCTTAAGAATATAACGGACATGCACCTTAAGAAGAAGAATGGTGGTAAAACATAAATCTAAAAGATTTACTTTGGAAACTATGGAAACTATAGTTTCAGAGGACACTAGTAGTAAAAGAGATGATACTTATAAAGCTACCATTAAATTACTTGATATTTTACTTGCTTCTTTAATTAATTCAGGATAATTAGAGCTTTAAAATAAGATTAATCGGTAGTCAGACCATAAATTTTCTATCAGAAAAGTATATGGTGTATTTGCTGAACAAGCAGACAGTATCCTTCAAATTAACACTCGAATTTACAAGCGAATTATATATTAAATATATTAAATGTATAACGAAAACAGAAATAGTAAGTATGCTAGTGAATGCCTAAACTCTCAATGAAAGTAAAAGATGTTATGCTGTCATAACTATGTATATATTGTTCTACAGTGTTGTACGGTCTTGGGGCGTGGACAATGGAATAAACGTTGGAAAAAAGTCTGAATTGTGGTATTATTGAAGAATGCTCAGAGTATCATAAATCAGTCATAAAACTAACAGTGTAATCTTCCAAAGAATGGAAGATAAAAACGAGTCCTATTAAAAGTATTTCAGTCGTATTACGAGAAACAAAAAATATAACCTATTACGACATTATTAGAGGAAAGAAAGAAGATAGAGAGAAACTGGGAAAACGACCAGATTCCTGATAAAATGGGCTAATGTAGTTTACCAGCGTTAGCAAGTGAACTTGAATAGTTAGTAGCGTTTATTTTATTTGCAAATAAAATGAATAGCTACAGAAAAAACGTAAGGTATAACTACAAATAATCGATCTCTTTAGTTTTATAATTACCACTTTGGGCAAGTTTTGCATTCGTTTTAAACCTTTATGTAAAACTATGTAGGTATATATTTGGTTTAACTAAATATTTGGTATTTTAAAAACTATGAAATTCTCGAAAGTGCAACAAAAACACTCTTGACGACACAATAAACTCGAAAAATCTGTTAACAATTATCCAGTGCCTTAAAAATTGAGCCAACAGATTGAATATCTTACAAATGTATTTTCACTTACGCTATAGTAACTGAAGTATAATACGTTTCCTAAAAAACCCCAAAACCACATAAATTTATTGTAATCACATTGAACCTACTTCCGATGAAGAAATATAAATTATAGAGGTCTGAATTTATAAATCAACCCTCTAATAAAAACTGGGTGTCCGCTACTAAACTATGCATAATTTATCATTTCTCTACAGGTCCAGACAGTTTATATTTTTTCTTAAAGTAATAAAAGTATGAAATTTAGTGTGTACCAATTTTACCCAGACTCTAGTCAGTCTCGGATACACTTTAGTGTGCAGTTCTTTTCGATGATTTCACAAAGTCGAACATAGCTAAATGTTACATTGCAAAGGCACGTATGTTATCTATATAATTTATCGTTTACTAATAATTATTTCTATCCCCCACTCTTCTCTATTTAGAGTGTATAAATGTTTCGAAGTATCTATAAATACAAAAAATTTCAATAATGATTGATACAAAAGAATATCGAAGACAATGATAAGTAAAACAAATATAACACTAGTGCACAAAGAAGATGAATACTTATTAAAAACAAAGATTCAGTAGCAGGGCAGAACTGAGAAAAAAAACCGTTATGTCAAGTCATTTTTACGAAGACCATATAAAATCCCCGTAATCCCTGCTATGCAAGATATCATCAAAGGATTAAACGGGAATAGAAAAACTAAGTTGATTCCCTTAAAACCAAATTTAATTAAGCATTAAGCAAACCATAAACCAGCCAAGCTAAAAATTAGGAAAAATTATATAAAATGGCACTATTTAAATTGGTGTAAACCTACACCAGATAACATCATAATCCACTAAGTGGAAAACATGAAACTCCTAATTTATAAGCCATCATATGACTGATAAATCAAAAGAGTTTATTGGAAAAGAGAAATACGAATGCTGTTCTATATACTATTATAAATATAACATAATATAGTAGAAAAAGGTAATATTTTATTTTTATGAACCCTATTTATTGTTTGTATACTATATTTGTTAAATATAAGTTCTACATCTGGCCTTACGTTTTATCGGAATCATCGAAAAGAACTTAAAAAAAAATAAACTATAATTATTTAATAATTTTTTATCCTATTTGAGATCATATGTGTAGGACGCTGACGACAAAATCTTGAATTAATGTTACTTAAAAAAATTCAGTACCTCTAAAATTTCTGGCTTAATGCCCCTCAGCAATAATTAATAAAAGTAAAAAAATATTTACATCTTTTTTAAGATATAACACCCGGTAAATGTGTTCCCTGTGACCAGTCACGAATAGGATTTAGTAATCAAAATTTTTTTCCGTAAAAGTACTTTACTAATTCAAGAACGGTTCCAGCTGTTTTCAATTGGTAAAGAGTTTTCGTAAAAATTGTTGGTATTAATAAATATTTAAGTCTTAACTACGGACATATCGATATGTTCTTTTATCTGGTCTATACACAGGGAAGACATCCCGCAAAATGATATGCTCAAGCATGCGACCACCCTCTTTGCTTTGTCTAATTATTTTTATATCATCAGTCTCATGTAAAAAAATATTAGTTAATATCTATCAGTCTTATTATCGTCGGGCTCTCTATATGCAGAGGAACTTGTAGCAAAAATATGAGCTGGTCTCAATGCGTTGCAAGCATTCCATGTAGGCACACGTTACAATTAAACACTAGTTAAATATGAGAACTACAAATGGCTGGAGATATGTGACAATCTCAAAAATACGTATACTTATTAGGCGCTTTCTAGAGTACATAGAACAAATACTTCAACAACAAAAATTGATTATAAAAATAAACCACCGAATACTGGTGTCTTGTGGTCTTTTGATATGAATGCAATCCTTTTTAAGTGAACGATTTATTCATTTTCATTAATTGTAGTTACATTTTTTATCTATTAACTTCCACGATTAACAAAAACTGTATATAAGACTCTTATTTTTAATTTCTAGAAGGAATAAACATATTAAAGTGGTTCACTTTGAAAATGCTCACAAATATTTGCCAAAAGTTGTTATTACAAATTAAAATAATATATGAACTCAACAATCTAACTCATATTGTATTCATAAAATATAATCAGAATAACCACATAAACTTAAAAAACTTTATAATTACGAGTATATATGAACAAATAACTTTGGAATATTTATGAAATATTTGGAATATTTGCATCTTACTTTAATGTAGCGAAAAAGGATATCGAAAAAACAACATGTTAAATTTGAAACCTGACTAAAAATCTACAATAAGAATTTATGAGTTCAGCAAAATTGGCTACTATGAAACTATTGAATCAGTTTGTAATCAGATTACAACAAAAAATGACTCCGTTGTTATTTTATTTATAAATTTAGATCTGCTCAGGTTGACTTTATCAAATGTAGAAAACGCTTTTATCTGTTCACTTGCAGATGCGAAATAATATTTTGTTTACAGCCACAAGAGATATGTTGAAAACGTAGTTGTTAACTGGGCGTACATTTAATTTACAGTTTTACTTGATATAATTGCAAAATAGAATTTTTCAAAAAACGACGGTTTTATATCAACTCCAATTAAATTTGATTTGTATAAAACGTGTATATCTTATTATATATAACCCTATACCATTGTTTTTATGTCACATAATACCGATAGAAGCAATATCTCCAACACATTTAGTTAATTCATCATATTTTCTACTCTAAGAGCTAATAGTAAAAAGTGAGTACGGCATTAAAACATATTGCACTGAACATCAGTCAATCGAGGTTGCATTTCTCAAAATAATAAACTATATATCATAAAATTTAACACTGGTTTTAAAACTTCTCAACAGAGTCCAGACAATGTTTATTACACATTATTCGCCTTCACAGTCTAAGGTTACTTCTCTCCGTGCTTCTTCTTTGAGGCTGTCTATTAGTAGTTCCTCCTTTTTCATTATTGCAGACACTTGATTCATAGGAGGCATTATTACCCTTGTCGATTCTCTTTCTCTGTGTTGCTCCTTTCTGTTTATCGATAGATCTTCGACCTGATCTTCTTCTTCTTCGTGATCTCTCTCAGAACTTCCATTTGTCTCGCTGTGGGAATGGTGGTGGTCACTGCCTGGGGCTGGAGAAGGAGTCAAACTTGCATGTCTCATGTATCTGCAATTAAAAATACAATTTAAAAAGGAGAATCTATTTTCAGAGGATATGATATATAATGATAATAATTGTTTCTATATTACACTTGACTGATGAATTGAATTACTTGTCTTGTTCTCTTAAACAGTCTTTACATGAACGTCATTTGTTTCTGAGTTAAGTCATTCATAATCAGTTCATTATCGATATTCTTATTAAATTTTCATATTAATATGTTTTGTAATATCATTAGTGTATTTTATTTTCTCTCTCTCTCTCTATCTTTCTCTCCTTTCCGTAGTTAATTGCTAATATATTCTAATCAGTCATATCTGTACATTTATTTATGCAAATTGAAGACCACAGGGAAAGAAGTTGATAAGCCCAATTTTTGACAAAATGAGAAAAGGCAGCAAATATTTGATTTCACGCAAACAAATCTTATGTATCTCTTGATACGTATTTCGATCTAATAGGTCTCGTCAGAAGAGCTATTCATAAGGTTTCTCAACGTGAAAAATCAATATTTTCTGCCTTTTAAGAAGCAACAATAACATGGCTTCGATACGGACGCAGTAGCGACATCTAATTAAACAATCGTAAAATAGTTTTCGAAACACAATTCAGATTTCTGCTTTATAATCTGAGCCTTCTAAGAATTGCAAGGCAAACAGACGTTGATAAAAGATGTTAAAAGAGACATGGGGAATCTAAAATTTGCATTCCACGACATGTCTTTTACAACTAAGCAGAAATTCTCATTTTGTTCGGATTTACTCTGTGGGAGTACAAGAAACACAATTCGCTAAGGATTTCTGCTTAGTTGTAAAAGACATGTCGTGGAATGCAAATTTTAGATTCCCCATGTCTCTTTTAACATCTTTTATCAACGTCTGTTTGCCTTGCAATTCTTAGAAGGCTCAGATTATAAAGCAGAAATCTGAATTGTGTTTCGAAAACTATTTTACGATTGTCCAATTTTTGACATTTCTCGTTTTTAATACCACTTACGTAGTTTCTAAGCGTAACACAATACAGAGTAATAACTTTATAAGTCAAAAGATATAATTGTTTGAAAAAACCCTGCACAGGAAACGAACTTGACATTTTCTTTCCAAACAGGTGAAAACGTTGATAAGTCCAGGCACAGCCACCTAAAATTTAGGTGGCTGTGGTCTAGGTAATCCTAGTAGTTGGCAACAATGGTATGCGACATTGAATAACCCGGTTTCTACAGATGCTTTCAGTTTCTTTATTCTGAAGGTTAAGGTGAAGATGTTTTAAAAGAAACTAAAGTTACGGTCCCATGTAACTGGCGAAGCTTGTAAATGTGCTAAGAAATGTTTTGATGCAATCTCTAAACATGAAAGACAATTTATTATAAAAAATATAAACTCTTCTGAAAATAATGACTAAATAAACTTATGTTAGCGAGCTTAGTTACCTTGGTTCCTGTACGACCAAAAAGGGCTAGAAACCCGAGAATGAGGTTGAATTCCGAGATTGCAGTCTGTTATCATGTGAAAATAAAACGGGAAGCCAGTGTGGAAGATGTCCTTTTGTGCTATTTCATAGAAAAACTGAAAATATCGTGGACAAAACACGTCACAAATAAAGACGTTCTGAGAAGGATGAATAAAAAAAAAATAGAAGTTTTAAATACAATTAAAACAATTTTAATATAAAATTTTAATATCTCGGACATATTACACGTGGAGAGAAATACACCTTGCTCCAACTGATTATGCAGGGAAAGATTCAAGGAAAGAAAAGCATAGGGAGGCGTAGAATGTCATGGCTGCGCAACCTGAGAGAGTGGTATGGATGTACATCAAATGAACTTTTCAGAGCAGCCGTCTCAAAAGTCCTAATAGCTATGATGATTGCCCACCTCTGCCGTGGAGATGGCAATTGAAGAAGATAGTAAAACACGAGGAAAGTTGAAATTCTTGTAAATAAATTTAAAAAATCAAACGAACCTCCTAGGGACATACGAGTGTAACAACCTCATTTTGAGCACCAAATTGATTATTTCTCATGTAAATCTCCAAAAGCAAATTTAAGTTTCAAAATAGAAAATTGGTCGGCAAGTCGTACAGCTCAGAAACGGCTAGACGGATCATGAGGCATGAGGAAGATAAGTTCTTTACAGGGGAAAAGCTCCACGTAGATCTATAAAAAAAATTGATACCAGTAATTTGCGATATAAATTAAAAAGAACGAAAACGTAAACAAAACCAAACATGTGACTTATCAGGATATTTTCCTGTGATGTTCAATTGATATAGCATTCACTCATTTTTTTCTGTAGTATCAGACGTTTTTACTAATAAATAGTCAACAAAAACTCTAATATTGACTTGTCTTTTTTATGTTCAGAATTCTTGTTATATACATGAATTTGCTTGAAATTGTGACAGTAGGTAGAAAATAGGTCAAAGATCAAAATCTACCCTATGCCAATATGTACTTTTCATCTGGGGTTACCACCCCAACTCGGGGGAAAAATGTTTATTAAAAAAACATGGTAATCGTTGATATAGTGAATTTTAAGACAAAATGATTCTCTAGTAGTTTTTTGAAAAGCCAATATTTTTGGAGTTATTCGTGAATGAAAGTTCACAAATTACACGGCAATAAAACATGTTCTTAAACGGGGTTTCGGGAATAACTCAAAAAATTTAAATTTATCGGGAAAACTGTTAGGGACAAACAAAATTTATATAAAAAAAACGAGATTAGTTTTTTATTATTACCGTAAACTTAATATTAATACAGCATCGCTGTACGAAAATAGACTTTTATTCATCGAATACAAAGATCTAAACATAAGATGTTGAACTGGAAAACGGTAAGTTTTTCATGGAAATCTTATAGGAACTTTTTTGGAGATCTCAAAAAAAAATTATTGATAAAAGTGATTTTCATGAAAATTAAGTAAGTTATAACAAAAATAAAGTCCGCTTATATCTTTTGAGACGCAAAAAGTAACCAACCCACCCCCGCCAAAATCATCCTGGTTGTAACTATTCGTTGCTCATTTAGAATTGAGTTCACTTATAAACCAAGCATTAAATTCTAGAAGTTTAACTGGGTTTGAAGGTTTAGTTTTGAAAAAAATTGTGTTTAAAATGGAAACACTTGTTTCGGAATTTCTCAAAAAATCTCCTTTTTTTTAAATACCAAAAAATAAACAAGATACAGAAAAAAAATGCTAAAATACAAAAAAACAGTTATTTTACTGAAAATGTTGATTGTTTCTTTATTTCTATAATAGACTAAAAATTGAATGAGAGGGGAAAGCACCATGGACTGGAAAAAATAATATACACTATCGTAGCTTTTAAAATTAACTACAAATTGTTTTTTGGCGAACTTGTTACCTTAAAAACTACAGGAGTTGTGAAGTGAATAAAAATCCCATATTTTTTTTTTCGAACTTTGGAGCACGTAGGATTGTATAAGTTTTGAAGTTGGCTATCTAAACAGTGCAAAATTAATCGTTTTTTATCATTCTTTCACTGGATGTGGTACAGTTTCGGCATTTTACGATAACGGTAAAATTTTTTTTGGAAATAATTGAAAAAAGACCTAATTTGAGGCAACAAGCAGAGATATTTTACAGTAATAACGTTGAACTAGAAGATATTTTGAAAGCTGGTAGGTACTGATATAATAGAGCTGCCAAAGATATACAAAAAAATAAATTGATGATGTCGAAGACTTGGAAAAGTATCGTGAACACACGCGATATGATTCCTTTATTAAGGCTACCACAAAAGGCAGTGTTGTCAAACTATCACTTGGTCCCACTGAAGATGCTCTAAATGAACACATTAAGAGAACTTATTATCACATACAACTGTGGCTTGGCAGCAAAAACGTTCGTTCAACTGATTGGGGTCGGCAGATTATTGTAGGATGTTTGCAACCAATTAGAACGTAAAGAAAACCTGCACCAGAAGTACTTATAAAGCTGCAGCTCTGCAGCTGCAGAAAAGTTGGGTCTTTTTGCAATCCAAGTTGTAGTAGATGTTCGGGAGAAAATTGTTACAATAGTGCTCCAACTGTAGTTCAAGCCGAGAAAGATATTAATTCATAATGACGTCAGGACTCGCCATCATTTTGTATTTGTAAATATTTATGAAAAAATTTGTGGATTTAATGTACAGTTATTTTTTAATGTCAATGTTTAAGCAATATAATAATTTATTTAAATATCCCATTGAATAATGTTTTACCATTTTTTAATAAGTCGTAATAGGTGGTGGTTGTAATGGCAGATAAATTGTACAAAATCACATATGATATTCCAGAAAATTAATGTATCAATATAACACCTGCTGTAAGATTTAAGGTGCAGTTTTATAATTTTTGAAAATATTGGTAGTTTTCACCCCTATTATAAAATAATAAAAATCTATTGACAAAGGGTAGATGTTGAAGTACAGGGTAAGTTGAGCTGCCAAACTACAAATTTTTGCACGCAAATCTATACATATCCATAAAATATGGAGATTATGCAATGACCGAGGCTGCTAAGGGTTACAATATGTAAACTAAGGGTTGAAACTTAACTTAATACTTAAACTTAAAAGATAAAATTAATTAAAAGATATTAAAAATCAGTAAAATAATATATTTTTTTTACTTTAGTCATAATAAAGGGTGGTTTCGATGGGTTGGCATATTAAAAAAAATAGTGAATATTATTTTAGAGTATCGAACAATCTTCATCCGACATATTTTAGCGTTATTGCTATCTGCTATAAGCTTTACTTTTAGCTTATATAAATTTGGACGATAAGGGGTAGTTTTCACCCTAAAAAAAAATTAGCACATATTGGAGTAGGGTAGATTTTGAAGTAGAGGGTATATTGAGCTTACCCTCAAATGACATGCAAATCGATGGATATAAAAAAATTCTGAGGTTTTCTACAATTTTAACCACCATATTCTGGGATAATTATCTGCCAAAAGTATTTTAGGAAAATATATTCAATATATTATAGCAACTAACAATTTTCTTTCGTTGCACCATTTTGTTGAATAGCAAAATTAGAAATTTATCAAATAGTAAATTAAAATTCATGTTGAATCTTTTATTGACATAAATTTGATTTTGACTTACTTGATCATTGTGGGGCTAGGACTTGGGCTTCTGGCTCGTCCAAGATTACTTGGACTTGTCGAATGTCCTGAAGCTATTGCATGGGCAGCTGCTGCAGCGGCCATTGCTGCTAAAGCTTCACGTTCATCTCCTCCTCTCCCATCTAAAGCGTGTTGCAGGAAACTGCTTGCCTCTAATAGAGAGGAATTGTTAGGGTTTTCGTCGGATTCAGAAAGATGTCCACTGTAGGGTGATCCTGCATAAAAAAGTAATACAAATTCTATAGTGATTTTTATTTGTAGTTGACATGAAGTATGGAATATATAACCAAAGTATACATTTAAATAAGTCGGTCATATAGCTAAGCGGGACAGGGTGCATTAATTAAGGTATATTATTTCAGCTTAAGGGACACACTTACCATAAGAAAAACAAGATGAGCTTCCATTAGATCCTCGCTTGAAAGGTCTACTAGTCGTTATTCCTAACTTTTTGACTTTATCGTACAGCGTTCTCGAAGGCACACGGTATTTTCTCGCAGCTTGTAGGGCAGACATGCCGTTCCTTACAGCTTCAATAGCTGCCATGATCTCGTCTCTAGTGTACTGTTTATATCTCTTATACTCAGGTACCTGATTAGGTACGTACGGGGCTATACCTGGTGGAACAGCACGCATTTCGCGAGAAAACGACTGAGGAGACGAGGAGGGAATTGCTAGTTTAGATTTTTCTTCGTCGTCGTTCATGGGAGTGAAGTCTGTATAAGGGGATTGAGCATCTTCTGAAGGTTCGTTTTTCATATGCTGAAATTTTAACTTAAATTAGATCATATATTTGACGATACGGTAAGCTATATTCACTCAGTTAGTTAGTCAGTATTATGCGGGATAAATTAGATTTTATAAGAAGACAATCGATATTGAAATTTGATTGATATTTATAATATTAATGCTGTCAGTGGATTTGTTATTCTCAAAATACTCAAAATACTGGACTATTTTCATTATCATCATTTGTCATTTTACAGTCTTCAGCCTCCAAATTAGTACGAGAATGTTTTGGAAAATTAATCTAAGCGAAATAATCAGAAATTATTATATGGAAAGTCATTATAGAGTAGAGTTCAATGAAGTGGTCAGTATCCTAGAAATGAGCGAATAATTTGATACTGAGAGAAAAATAAACATATCTTAAAAACGATGAAAATATCTATAACTAATAACAAAAAACATTTAAAAATATGTATAAGTTTGGTCTTATAAAGAGATATTAATTGATTTTTTTATATCTTACCTTCAGTCTATCTTCATTTCCGTTACTTTGTTCGGCGCTATCGGGGTGGCAAACTAAACTAACTGGTTGCGAGGAATCGGCTTGACCCTGTCCCAAAACAGTCCTCAGGATTGGTGTATCTCTATGCATGAGCAAACTGGACAATTTTTTTCTTTTTAACGGCGACATATCGGACGTGGCAACATCGTAACAACCACCGAGCATTGCTGTGCTAGGGTGGTTATTAGAAGGAATCTGTGAAGAAGCGTGGGAGGGAAGAGGTAGACCGGGCATAGCCCACATTGGCAGGTTTAATCTAGAGTCTTGGGGAGGTTTGTTATTGTACATATTGTAGGAATTCTTATAAAGAGTATTCGTTGAATGAGGTGGTGAAGTATTGCTGCTACTGTGTACAATATTTTGCATTACAGAACTTGAAGTCGATATTGAAGGTGAATGATCCATAGCTTCTTCCTCTTTGGGACTTCTATTGGATCTATTTTCCTCTACTAATCCTTTTACTTTAAGAGCCTCAGCTACTTTAAGTAAAGCAGCTAGTTGATCTTGCGCTACATTTACCTCTCCTCTGTACATATATTCTAGAATAGCTTTAATTTCTACATGCTTAACGTCTTTGAGTACTACTACAGGATGTTTGCAAGGCAAGTCGGTGAATAGATTTTGAAAATATGGAGAACAGGCCGCTAGTACCATTCTGTGGCATTTAATAGGAGAACCACCCTCGCATGCCAGGGTGACATCTGTAAATGCTTCATTTTGAAGAAGCTCGTCAAATACTGTGAGAAGATTGGATCGGTGATTGTTCCAACGGAGGCAAAACTGCTGGGCGGTGGCCATTTTCTTGGAAAGTCACAATACTGAAAGAAAAAGTTATTTTATTTGATAATGTTTATAGTAAAAAATAAATAATTATTAGATCGCATTTTGGTTTGTTATCTAGGTATAACATAAAATTGAGTCATAAATCTCCAAAAAAAAGTATCTAATATTTTTCAAAATTCATATTAATTGTCAATAAAGACAATTAATCAAATGTAGTTTATAAGAATACATTGTGAAAATTGTAACTCATCATATATTGGACAGACATATCAATAGTCATATAGACGAATTATTATACATAAAAAACTATAAGAAATAATAAAAATTGCACTACTAGCAAACAGTCTTTGGCAACACAGTAAGATTAGGTCAATTGCAATCAAAAAATAGAAAGCAGAAAACTGTGGTCGACTAAGATGTTTCCCTATTAAGACTAAAATTCAAGAAACCAGGGACAAAATAGATTTTGACCAACTTAGCCCAAACAAACCTATTTAGCTTCACTGCGTAGATATGACTTAATAACGTATCAAATAGTAAAATTTTCCATTGTAAACTGCGGAAGAAAGAAAAAACCAAATAACGTCAATGGGCAATATTCTTAATAATCTATAGTCACGTTCAAGCCAATAATCAGAAAATAATTAGTGAATCACATAAGTAAATACTAATAAGTGGCAGCAATTTCATCAATCACCAAATAATAACTATGGAAATCAGCAATTTGTTATTTGTTCCTTAATTTTTGTTTACGATAATGCGATATACTGATAAATGGAAATTCGCTAGGTAGTCAACATAAATATTTGGGAACTCCAAATGCGTCTGTAATTTTAAATTGAGTACATTTAGATAATGTACGGAAGTGTTTCTTTTGTGGTTTGGCAAGTTCCTTCATGTATACGAAGGTTTTAAAATCTACCAAGGATGCAGTATTGATATCTCCTCTTGACGAGATAAGAAATAACAGTTGCATATTATTTAGTCGTTTCATAGGGATACCAAAGTATGATAGCTATTACTCTTCTGAACTAGCAGATCGCTGAAGTATTCATTAGTTTCTCAATAATTATTTATTAATTTATTCAGATCCATAGTCCTACGTACAGTTAGTGATTTTAATTCGTTGTTTTTTGTTGGTTCAACACGCCAAATTAGACCAAAAATATCATAAAAATTGATGAATTTACTATTATATATATATATATATATATATATATATATATATATATATATATATATATATATATATATATATATATATATTACTATTACAAACAATACTAGGCGGAGGATCATTCCTTGTTTCACTTCGATCTCGTTAGTGAAAAAAAAAAATCTATAACAGTAACTGCATTAAGAAAGTAATATAATTACCGTAATATAAAGGGAAAATGGTTTATTAATTAAACAGTGCTGAAGTTTAATGTTGAAAATGATGCTGCATGTCACTGTATGCACCGGAACATTGTATAAATTACATAAGTGTAACATTAATACTGGGTTAAATTTATACTTAATTATCGGATCTATAAATGTGTTTCTTAATTTATTCATAATTTTCATTTGCCTTTTTACTATTATTCAACTTTATGGATAATTTTAGCTTCAACATTCTTCCTACGGAAAAATACCCATGTTCTACACGCAGTGAAAGTTTTCACTTTTGGCATTCTATGAAAAGTACTTAAAACAATTTCTACATAAACAGTAATTAATAGAGAGAAGTAAAATGTCTATTTTTTAATTCGTTGATGTTTGGATTAACGTTTTGGGTACTCATTTAACAGTTTTGTTATTTGGTGTAAATTTTCTCTGAATGTTTTACTTTCTGACATATTTTACATTCCCTATTTGAAGTACATTTTGAATGTGATTAAGCTTATTTAAACATTTAGCACACGTAGTAACTTATTTATTATATACCTACTCAAGAATACTATCTACGTGTGTATTACGTCGGAAATTTGTGTTTTTTATAGTTTACTCTTTCTTCTTCCTCTTAGCCTTCATCATGTCAATAATATGCAACATTGCCCTATCAGCAGCCGCTCGAAATAGATCATCCATCAGTAAATGTGTGCATCTTCTTATGTTAAGTATCTAAGTATTCACTATTTATGTGTAGTCGACTTCTTCTTCGCGTACCATATCAGAACTATCCGACGTTGGCGATCACCATTGCGAAGGCTTCTCGATCTTTTGCAATATGGAATAATTGTCCTGCATTTAGTATCTGAGTCCATTCACGAATGTTTTTTAACCAAGAAACTTGTTTTCTTCCTACACCTCTACGGCCCTCTATTTTGTCTTTAAGGATCAGTTGTAAAATTTTATATCGACTTCCCCTTACTATATGTCCCAGATAAGACATGTTTTTTTCGATGTTTAACAGTCTTTACCAGTGCTCTGTCTTTGTTGACGCTCCTTAGTACTTCTTCATTAGTTTTTCTTGCTGTCCAAGGTATCTTCAGCATTCGTCTATGAACCCACATTTCCAATGCTTCAATTTTGTTCATAATCGATACTTTTAGCGTCCACACTTCTGCACTATACAAACGTACAGACCAAACATAGCACTTAACCATTCTTTGCCTTAGTTCTAAACTGAGATGCTTATTGCAAAGAAATGACTTCATTTTCATAAAAGTAGTTTTAGTCATTGCTATTCTACGTTTTATTTCTATGTCTGGATCTAGTTGGTCCGTTATTACAGTTCCCAAATATGTCATTTTGTGAACTTTCTCAACTTGTACTCCGTTCAATTAAAGCTTTGCATCGGGATGTGGGTCACGACTAAACACTAAAAATTTGGTTTTGTTTGAGTTTATTTTAATGCCCATTTCCTCTCCTATCTCGTGAATACGATCAAGCAGAATTTGAAGAGCTTCAATATTATGATAGAATTACTGTATCGTCTGCATATCTAATCACATTAGGTAGTTCCCCGTTTATTTTTATTCCATATGGTTGTCTCTCAAGTGCCTTTTTAAATAGCTGGTCTGAGTAAACATTGAACAATGTTGGCGACAAAATGTAACCCTGTCTGACTCCTCGTTGAATGGGAATTTCATCGGTGTAGTTATCTCCAATTTTTACGATAGCAGTTTGATTCCAGTACAAATTTTTAATGACACGAATATCCTTGTCATCTATTCCGATATTTTTCTTTCTTTTTTCCGATATTTTTCGACTTAGTCGACTTACTTATGTTATTTATTATTTCTCTGCCTATTTTCACATCTTACTGTGTAGAGATTTAATCCTAAATGAACTACATCCTACAATTTAATGTTAAGACTAAATGACGAAATAGAGCTGAAATACTATTGTTGTTGTCTCATGTGTATCATTAAGTGTGTATATACAAGAACTAGAAATTTATGCCGATTCCGAACAACTAAGAGTAGAAGAACTGTACCAGATAAATTACTACTCAGTGGTTTCCAATTGCCTACTGAAAGGCAACATTGGCAATACTTTTTGGTTTTAGGGTTATACTGGGAATCGAACCCACATCATTCGCACATACATACATCGATTAGCTATCTGGGCTGTAATATAATGAAGGAGCAAGATATATGCATGTTTGTAGAATTAACAGACATTATAATGTATACAAGACAGTAATAAGGTAAATAATTATAGATTTTTTAGGGACAGCCGCCTTCAAACATAATTAGGAAAAACCACCAAAAACATTCGAGACGCAGATGTCTGTTCAGGTTTTTTACCATTTCTGCGCTTTTCCTAGCGTAACTCTTTCTTTCTTTCTACTTATACATCGGCCTACTTGATTCTCTCGCGAATTTCAATTAAAATCCACATAGCCACTGCTGTAATTGAAAAACTACAGATTGATACAGAGGAGGAAGCCGATGGAAGAAGATATAAATACGTAGAGATAGCTTCTTATATTAGACCACTTGGCCTCTTCGCCGATTTTGAGCTTGTATTGGTAGCTGTGATTTTGATTGCCAGCTATCTGGTTATCTTTCCTATTAGTCTCTTGCCTGTTGGTTTTGACTTTGTTGCTATTCGGGCTATTCTCTCTCTGCACATCTCGTGACCTGCTTATTCCATTCTCGTCTTCTCTGTCTTTTATAACGTACTAACGTCTTGTATGTATGTATTGTAAGTTACAGTATGTTATTCCGTCATTCGGTATTCTATCTAAATATTTTCTTAGTTATTGACCTCAACGTTCTTATTTCTAATGTTTTCAATATTCGAATAGATAGTTCGACTCCAACATATTCGAATCTCGAAACTTATTCAATTATTTCATCGTTAATCACTATTTTGCTTCTTCCAGATTCCCACAACTCCGCAAAAAACACAAATGTGAGAAATTAATTATTTTAAGAAGCATCAAAACGAAAATCATCATGTGTTGCACTTAATTTTTCACGGAGAATTGAAACAAAATATGGCATTTAACGAAAGATAATTTCTATAAGGTGATGAGAAACTGGAAAAGTATTCATTCCTATTAATTTGGTATTATTTTTCATACGAACTGAAAATTATTTACAGAAAATTACTGAGTTTGTAAATTTCTCATTTCCGGAATTGATTGGGAAGGCATTTGTGACATCTTTAAGTAATTTTGACTAATGACAAATTGATGGATAAATAGGTATTAGTACCAGCAAATTTTAATTACAATGTAGATTGTTTACTGCATTTTAGAGATAAGATTTGCCTAAAGATAAACCGAGACTGATAATTATCGGAAACGTCACTAATAGCTTGAAGTCAGGTAAATTGATTACCGGAACAAAAATTTCTATTTTGTACGACTATTTTAATAAAATTTTTGTCTATTTTTATTATTATTAATAATTCATTTAAACATTTTTATCCTGAGTTGTAGATAAGATAAATAAGGATTAAAAATAATATAAATAATAAAAAACCATAGTTAAGATCTTCGACCACAAAATAAATTGGACCCGATCTTCTGTAGGCAAAAACAGAAAAATCTCTCTAACGCCCTAGGTTAACTCAGCCTA